TACTTCTTCAAGTTGATGGTCATTAATCCCCAGGGGTGCCTTCTCCTGGTCAAGGGTGCAGCTTGAGAATAACTTCGCCTTTCCTGAATTTATGGACATGCAAACCGACATAGCGATCTCATTTACCCGCGACACTACAGACTGTAGACCACCAGAGCTTGAGGCCAGCAGCGCAATATCATTGGCGCAGTCGAGATCAGTTAGCCACGATTAAGGCCTACCGGTCCAGGTGGTTTGCCGTCAAGCCTAACGAGACTCCTTCACGGCAACCTGCGGTACACTTCCATAAGGGAACCCGGAAGCATCGGTTCAGGGCAGCATAACACTTGCGTGACAAGCCAGGGCGTGTCTATTGCATATAGTTCAACAGAGATGCGGTAACAGCAGTCTTCACACATCATTATCCTCTACAGGGATTTTGGCCCTTGTTTTGTGACAGTAGACTTAAAACAAAGGAATTATTCTCAGAGACAGACTGTCATGGGAGGAAATCGGTCACAGGGGGGTGCGGATGGACACACGAGATAAATCAGGAAATTCCCGAAACAGTGGATATTTAGATACTAACCACGACTGAATTTAAGGGGGGATTGAAATAGGAAAAAGTACATGATTATGGCCAGCAAAGACAGGAGACTGGAATGGCAATTTCCGACTGTGAATACTCAATCCCAGGTGATGCACCATCCATGGCTCAAACCAGCGACTGTACGATCAGAAGTTCAGTGCTCTAACCATAGCGCCCCGGACTCGTTTTATTGCCGGTTTCGATCAGGAATATAGACATCTGTTAATGAACGTTCACCGATCACCATCGGAACTCCATCCTGCCTAGGAGGGTCACTCTGGAAACCCACTAGCAGCCACACCGTGGCTGGTAGTGTAGACATAGCAACGACAAAGGAGACTGAAATGGTCACTTCTGGCTCATTAGCCGCCACCAGCCAGTAATAACCAATGGCATGTGGTGCGCCATGCAAGGCTCGAACATGCCATATATTGATCAGAAGTCCAACGTTCTAATGACTCAGCCACGGACTCGCTGTCTGGGCTCGAGTGGGAGGG